CTGACTGTCTCTTTGGAGTCCATGCTGAAAGTGGCGAAGCACGCGTCTGAAAATAACAAGCTGTTTTGCCTGAACCTCTCCGCGCCCTTCATCTGCCAGTTCTTCAAGGATAACCTCATGCAGGTTTTGCCCTACGTCGATATGCTGTTCGGCAATGAGACAGTAAGCCAGACTTTCACTAAACGTTCTTCAGATGCTGTTACATACTGGCTGCATGTGCAGTGCTTTATATCCTCCAGATGTTGATGTACACATGTGTCTGTAAGAGAATCTCTCTTTGTTCTTTAGGAGGCAGCTGCATTTGCTAAAGCGCTAGACTTTGAGGTGAGTGGACTGATGGTCTCTATTAGCATTTGAACATGATTAGCACTGTTTTTCTCGTATTTGATGCAACTAGTGATGACACTGTGTGTTTTGTCTGTAGACCAAGGACTTAAAGGAAATTGCCAAGAAAACCCAGGCTTTGCCCAAAGTCAACACAAAGAGACAGAGGGTTGTCGTGTTGACCCACGGAAAGGATGACACCGTTATGGCCCAAGGTAAGAGCTTACTTACCCTCAGTCTCCTATCCACTGTTAGAAATATACTGCAGACGTATAATCGTTCCTCTCATGTTTGTTAAGGTGACAAGATCAAGACATTCCCTGTACTGAAGATTGACCCCAAGGATATTGTCGACACAAATGGTGCGGGCGATGCCTTTGTAGGAGGTACGTTTTTTTCCCCGTGTTTTCATTTGTTACATTTCTAGGTTGCTTTTTGTCTTCCTGTGTTTTCCGTGGATTTCTATTAAAGTTTTCCCCCTCTGCCGTGCAGGTTTCCTATCTGAGCTGGTCCAAGAGAGACCTCTGGAACAGTGCGTGAAGGCAGCACACTATGCCGCCAACGTCATCATCAGACGAGCCGGTTGCACCTTCCCAGAGAAACCTGACTTCAAGCCATAACTTGAAGTCAGCCATAATTTCAATAATTTCAGCCATAGACCTCATGTTCACCCTGCCAGACACAACTTTGACCCATAATTTCCTCTAGTGTTTTTTTTTTTTTAACAAATCATACCCTTTATTCTCTTAGCTCTTTTTTTTTTTTTTTTTTTTTTTTTTTAAATCAGCCAACCGTCCGTGTTGTTTTTAATTCATGCACACATAATTTCCTTCCAATAGCTAGTTTGGTACCTCCTGAGGTGTGCCTGCCTTTGTCTTCCACTTGGGGCTGCCAGAGGATCATGCAGACAAGAGAGATATGTTTATATTTCATAACATCACGGGATGTGAGCATTTTGCTTTACACAAAGGATCTAAATGGGAAATCTTGTTTTCATGGACACTACAGCCAACATCTGGCGGCACTGATGCCCATCAGACTCTGCAAACTACAAACCCATGTGTTGACATCTCACAAGTGTATTTCTTCCCCACGGAGGCAGAATTGAAGCACAAGAAGTTAATTCCGCAACAGGAGGACACGTTATACACAGAGGACTGATGAAAAGAATGTCGCTGACAGTGGAGGTTTGGATACGGCATAGAAATATGTAGTAGTGGTTTGTTTTAAGACTTTTTTAGAGATTAATTATTCCTGATTATGAGTTTATACTTGTTTAATTTAACAGGCCAGTTATGAAACCAAATGTTTTTCTTTTACGCACACTCTTTTTAAATGTGAAAAAGCCTCTGCCCAGTAAGTTCGTGATGACTGTGGGATGTCAGCTTCACTGTGTCAGTGCTATCAAGACGTTAATGCCAACATCACTATTGTGCAAGTGTGTCTTTCCTCATGCTGTTTTTTGGGCAGGTGCTTCTATTGAGTGCCTTTTGTTCCTTCCTGTCTTTGTAAATATTACAAAGTTTGCAGAAGCCTACAGGTGTTAATGTGAACCTGCAGTCATCTCTGCAGGGAAACTTGCAAGCTAGAGCAGTGATGGGCAACTGGTGGCTTGCGGGGGTGGACACACATCTTGCATGCAAATGCATGTGAGGTAAAAAGATATCACATTTGACTGTTCAGTGGGTATTAAAACTGCCCTTGCTCCTGCTGTTTGTTTTTCACCTGCATCAGTAGCTCCTGTTCTTTGTCAGTTTATGTTGACCTCTTGCAATATAGTATGTATAGTATGAAGCCCAACTTCAGGTCCATCCGCTCTGCTAAATCACATTTAAATGGAATATAAAAGAAATGAGGAAAACATAGGCTCAATTCATGCTCAAGTCACACTTGTGATATGGAGCTAAACATTTCATACTGTATCAACTCTCAGTCTGTGTCATGTGGTGTGAACAACACTGAATACTTGAATGCCATTATACTGAATATAGATGTACTCAAGCAAGATGTACGTTTTCTGAATACTACCAAGAGTTGTTGTGACACTTGCATACCTGATAGTATTGTCCCTCCATTAAATAGGTGGTTTCTTTTTACATGCTTAGATACACCAAAAAGCCTTATTTGATAATTTATTCCTGGTCTCACTCGCGGTCAAGTTGCCCATCTCTGAGCTAGACTGTGAGGCCTAAAATTCACAAATAAAACCTACAACAATGATCGTATTACTCCGTCTTTCTCCCATGGTATTTACTAACATTTTTAGATGTTTTAACCATTGACTATAAAAATGATGTGACATCACCCAGTCGCTATCTTGGATTTGTGGAACCAGAGGTGACCATATTTGGATAACAGGGTGGAGCTGTGGAGCAGCGAGGGGTGGATCTGATTCTTTGACTATGGTGACTCCTTAGACAACCTGTCACTCAAAGCATCTATGCCTCAATAAAATGTAAACAGATGAGTGATGTAAAAAATCACCCCCTGCACCAGGGTATGAAATTAACAAAATATTTTGGGGGCAATTATGGCCCCCACGGTCTAAAAAATGGGGGCATTTTCAAAATGTTTGGGGGCCATCAAAAAATTGTAATTATGTTCTAACAATAAGCACATGAAAAGCAAAACCAACTAAGATAGTGTCTTCGCTCTTCAGTAGAAACCACTATAAATGAAATAAATAATGGGTTACATAAAGTTATGGTTGCAAAATATCACTCAGATTTACTATAATTCAACCAGTTTAAATGTGATGATTTAACCATTAATCTACTGATAGCAGTACTAATGTTTCACCACATTACAGTTACTATTACTGTTAAAAAGGCCAAATTACTATAAATTCCTTAGATGCAATCCTGGAAGTAAGTTAATTTAAAATTTAACATTCATTCTACCTTAATTTTTCATTAATTTGTCATTGTGTAGACACAGATCACCCAAGAAATGGTTAATTTATACTTATGGTACAGCAAAGCCCCCTCCCCTTCTCTGTCAGATTACTCTCACGTAATCAGTGCAATCTCGTTGATTATATCTGGAAAAAAAGTTGTAGACGTGACGGTAAATTAATTTAATGAAAATAAAATTATACTTTAATGTCAGATTGTAATACCGTTAAAAATATAAATACATATAGTTGTTTCGAAAACTTGGGGGCAATTTTGGCCCCCGGAACATGGCTTTTGGGGGCATTCTTGGATAAATTGCGGGCCAAATGGCCCGTGGCCCTTGCTAATTTCTGACACTGCCCTGCACAGTTTTCACAGATTTGAAAGAAAGGTTGTGAACATGTTTATTTCTGCTGTAAAGCATTTTAGCATGAGTGCATATGGAGACTGGCTTTGGGAACCAGCTTAAAGTGGCCAGTAGAGGAAGTGGAATTTTTCGCATGTCTGCATTGGTGTATGTTTTTTCAGTCCCAGAGGTTACCACTTGGCTTTAACCCTCAGAATTTCTTTAAATCAGATCTCTTTTTTTATGTTTTTTTAAAGGTCCCATAGTATGCTGATTTTTAGGTTCATGCTTGTATTTTTGGTCTCTACAAGAACATGTTTACGTGCCTTTATGGTCAAAAATACTTTATTGTCCTCATATCATCTGTGCTGGAACACCTGTACTCATCTGAATCACTCCATTTTAGTGCCTGTCTCTTTAAGCCCCCTCTTTCTGATTGGTCACAGTCAGAGCGATAGATAAGAACACAAAAAACTTGTTTAAACTAGCTTTAAGTTAAAACTTAAGTTAAAGTTACTTTGACTTTTGTTCTTATCTATCGCTCTGGTTACAGTATAGCACCAATTTTTACCATGAAAAACCACCAATAAAAGCTTCCAAGTCGAAAACTTCACAACTGGACATGTTCCAGCAGGAATATGATCTGAAATCAGGAGGATTTAACAATATCGTTAATAAAAATACATGTTTCACTGATGTTAGCATGCAGCAGTGTAGCTGTCTTGTCTTGAAAGTAGAAAAAAACAGCATCCAGAACGATCTGGAGCCAGACAGGAAATAAGGACAAGCATAATAGGTCCCCTTTAAATCAAAGATAATTCTTAGTAAGAGATGTAGATAGTATTCCTTATAGATCTCTGAGCAAAACTCATTTCAACATTCAAATCTGTAGTACAAGAAAATGCTGAGGCAACAGAAGTGATAAATCTGAGGCTTCTTAGTTCCAGTAGTATACAGTAGATCTGTAAGTTTCACGATAATATAAGTGGAAACCTCTTGACTAGCAGCTACAACTCTAAACTTTTGTTCTATGCATCAAGGGTTCTCAAGATGGCGGCTTAAAGAGAGGTCATGTTCAATCGAGCTTGTGTGCCATTACACTATCTTTCTACATTATAACCTACAAACAGACTATTTCCTTGACTTGAACAATTCCTAAACATGTGGTGAGTGTTAATAACTGCTTTCTGAGGCAGTCGGACAACATGTTGCACAGAAGAAAGCCAAATTCGACGAGCCGGAGGAGCTTAGCCATCAAGCTAGCGAAGAAACTAACACAGAAGCTAGTGCATTTGCACCGGCACTTCATGCAGCTGTCTCTGAGATTACAGCTAATATTCTATGCATCAAAACCTTCTGCTACCTCCTCCATGTTCAAACCTGTACACACACTTAACAGTTTTCACACTGGTGTACTTGTACACCTGACACAGTTGTGAAAAACAAAACAGAGTTTAATGACACAGTCGTTAAAGAAACAAAAAGAACATTTTCATATACCTGAGATGGATTCAGAGGACAATCAAAGTGGTAAACAGAGATATTATCTATCTATTGTTAACTATTGTTGTTGCATCTCTCTTTTTTGCCTCAGCCTCTCCTCTTGTAACATGATGTCTAGTGCTCTGAGCTGCTTTAGGAAGCCGTGATTGGGCAGAATGCAGCGGCGCTGTTTCACATGTTCAACAGCATCCACCACAGTTAAGCTGCATTTCATCATCAAGTATGCCAAGACCAGAGTCGCTGATCTGCTCCGACCCATCACACAGTGCACCAGCACCTTGTCTAGAACAAAATGAAGATAAATGGATTCATTAGAAACACAGCGAAGCATAACAAGCTTGTCATCCAGTGGATGAGCTTAATTAAAGGTTTAATTTCCTCCAGGACTCACTCTGCGGTTGACTGAGGGCCTCGTGGATGAATTGGGTTGCAGGGCAGAAGTACTGGGAGATGTTGAAGGTGGGTTTGTCATCAGCCTCCACACCAAAGTACTGGATGTCCATGTCCGTGTAGTAATCAGCACCAGTCAGTACATTATTAAACTTTCCCTCCGCTGCATTGAGGACATGTGTAATACCCAGCTCCCTCAGGCCAGGCCGCTCCAGAGCTGTTTTCCTGTTTCCATGTGACACACAGACTCAGTGCAAAGCTGTCATTTCAACCATGAAACCATCTGTGTTCATTTACTCACTCATCCCCGATGTAGATATTGGGCCAGACCTGGTTGACATGGGCGTACTGAGCCCCGGTGCCGGACCAGAACAGCTGCTCCAGGTCTAATGTTCCCGGTGTGATGTAGTCACTGTCCGGGTCCACCTGCACTGCTGCGTACGGGTTCTTGCTTCTGGACTTTGCCACACAGGAAGACATGCTCACCTCTGCTGCCCAGAAAACACATACTGTTTAGATGTAATATTAACCCTTATACACTGGTGATATCTTGAGATACAGTCTTAAAGCTGGGACAGTTAGTCAATTAATTAATTAATCAGTCAAACAACAATAAATCAATCAGCAACTGTTTCGATAACTGATACATCGACAGACTATAACACCTTAAATGTTAACACATGCTGGTTTTCTTCATTTTTCTGTGACAGTAAACTGGATTTCTTTGGCTTTTAGTTGGACAAAAAGGGCACTTGTAGTCAACATAAGCTTTGAGAAATTATTTCAAGCCGTAATCATTATTTTCAGACATTTTATAGATCAAATAATCAAGCAATAAATCAAGAAAATAATTGTCCAATTGGCTGATAATAAAGATTGCAAGCCTATACTGTATGTCCCCGACCTATGGCAGATGTATTGAGGGTGTAGGGAGTCAGTGTTTATCATGTACTTCATTGACTTATCTGCCATTTTAAAATAATTCCTGAATAAATTAATTTTCAGGCCTACATAGATTAATTGATTTAGTGATTTAAACATAACTAAATAATGAAACAAAGCATTCTTTATGCACGTGATTTAAAATTAATTGTTTTTAGATATGTAATCGTAAATCAATGAGAAATTCTGTTTTTGAAAAGGGAATTAAATATGATTGACTAATTTGGTATCACACATGCATTTCCATTCAACACTTCTGTTGTCCCTTATGTGAAGCTCTGAGGTTTTTCTTCGGGTGAAACTTCACTCAGCTGTTTGACATGACTCAAGATTTCCATGAGCAGATGTCGAGTCTTTGTCGCCATGACGAACAAGTTCAAGTGACAGACAGTGAGAGTTACTGCTGAACGCTTTGCCACATCAGTGTAGTCCTGCCACTTAAATGATAATTGATCTGAGTAATAAATAAAATAGATAGCACATGAAGATGGAGAACCAGTTGATAAAACAAAATAAAAATTGTCAAAATGTATTTTACTTTTTCAGAAATCTGTTGTGAAATTTATAAAAGAAAATTCAAGGTATATATAATTTGTTTTTTCTTTTCTTTCTCTCAGTTTACTGCTCATTTTTCAACTAATAAATTGCTAACATTATGCCCAATTACAATGATATTTAGGTCCTCCACTTCTTTCATTCTACACCTGTTTTGTATCTGCTGCACTCCCATGCTCCTTTTAATGCTCTGTAAACTCTTAATATAACACACATCATTCTCAGGTTAAGTGGTTTAGACTACAACAGTGTTGTGATGTTCCAGGATGAACTAAAGCTTGGTATGATCACTTCAGGTGTCTTATCCACTCATGATATGAGCTGTTTACAGTAATGAGGAAAAATACACTGATGGTTTGTTCAGTGTTTGTTCACACTACAGACTGATTGTCATAATAAAGTTCTGTGGTAGAAAGAAATGACTTACCTCTTTCTTCTAACTGTGTAAAGCTTTGAATCTGTTCCTGAGCAGGATCACAGAGCAGCACCTCAACTTTTCCTTAGTAGACATGTGGGAACTGTGTGTGTGTGTGTGTGTGTGTGTGTGTGTGTGTGTGTGTGTGTGTGTGTGTGTGTGTCAACAGAGACCTCCCTCCACAGTAAGCATGAAGGCAGTAATACAGATCTGGAATGGCAGTTGCTCTCTCGGGCTCTGTGTTTAAGATGATATTTTTAGGCAGCAGGGCTACAGCACCTGACTTCAACAACGTGACAAACACACATACACAGACACACACAAACACAAACAGATCTTTTCTTACAGCCTCCATAATGTAATCTGAGTCCTCAAATGTGACTTTGATTACTTTGCTTTAGCCTGTACGGTAAAGAGAGACACTGTGTCATGAGAAACAAAGCCAGGAAACGAAAAGAAGTTCAGTCAGAGTGGCATGTTGCATTGTCGTCATTATAAGAATGTCACCAATGTGTGGACAGGTGTGGGGAGAGTTATTTCTGGGGACATAAAATTCAAAGCATTCAGGTGTTACATTGGGCCAGAGACTGAGACTTCTTGTGACAAATGACACATATTTCTATTCATCAGGTTTGATTGTTATACAGAAAATGTGGATTCAAACAGAGCAGGTGCCTGACAAGTGTGAAAGCGTCATGCTCTGTCATGATGTGTCAGCATGGTCCTCCTCTGTGGTCTGTCTACTCTGAGGACTGAGGCTCAGCTCCAGCTGTCTCAGCTGCTCCAGAAATCCAGAGTTGGGTCCAATGTCTCTGTTCAGACGTACAGCGATGATGGCCTCCGCTAACGACAGGCCCTGGCAGAGCACCAGATAGGCGAGAACCAGCGCTCCAGAGCGGCTGACACCCATGGCACAATGCACAAACACCTTCCCTGGAAAATACATGGATTGGAGTATTTGAAAACACTTAAACAAAATATTTTGTCACATTTGTCATCAGACTTGTCAAAGTAGGAAAAACACAGGTGTTACTAACAACATTTAAGGATCAGTTCACCCAAAAATCTAAATGAATACCTGTAGTGCTATTTATCAGTCTGGATTGTTTTGGTGTGAGTTGCTGTGTGTTGGAAATATCAGCTGTAGAGATGTTTGCCTTCTCTGGAATATAATTCAACTAGATGGCGCTCGGCTCATGGTGCTCAAAGAGCCAAAGTCTCTGTGCAGAAGGAAGCCTGCATCTAATGCTAGCTCATACAGCACCACTGAGCGAGCTTACATTACAAGCTCAGCAGAAGAGGGCGACATTAATGTTTACATCCCACACTGTCACAAGCACAAACCTCTCGTCCATGATCAGATGCACACTTTTTTTCTGCACAGTGATACAGTTGCTGGGTGTAGTTCAGTAGAAAGAAAATAGTTCCTACATGAAGCTGCTCACAACAAGGTCTGTGGATTATCTGTAGTAACTGGGTCATGATTTCTGGAGAGAGACATTGCTCAAAACAATCTAGACTGAAAAAAACAGTACCACAGGTGAGAGGAAAAATATGTATTTTTGGTTTGAGGGCAAGCCGTCCCTTTTAAGATGGCTCTGTTCCAGTGTCCCAGTAAACCATGACAGTGTGATGATCATCTGAAACTGAAGCAGCTGAATGGATTTCAACCATCATTAATTAGGCTATTTTTATAATATTTACACCAGTGCATCTCCTACCATTCCATGTCAAAATGTTTTTTGCTGGTTTTCATTTGAAATTCCTATTTATTTCTTATGTGATTATTCATTTGCTTGTATTTTCATTTGGTTTTTCCATAAATTTGAGATTTAAAAAACCAGTTGGCAGAAAATATGTTAAATCAACAGGAGTGCATGAGGGAGCAGAATTTTATTTATTTAGTTTTTTTAAAGAAAGACGATCTAATGTCTTTAAAGGTCCAGTGTGTAGGATTAAGTGTCATCTAGTGGTGAGGATGCAGAATTGAAACCTTTCCCATGTGCCAAGCATGTAGAACTATGGTGGTCAATGCAAAAACGGGAAAACAAAAATGGCCCTATCTTGAGCCAGTGTTTAATTTGTCCACTGTACTGCAGAATTAACATGGCTGACTCCACAGAAAAGTACCTGCTCCGTATGTAGATATCAACAGCTGATTCTAAGGTAACGAAAATTGCAATTGCAATTTTTTTTCAGGTGTTATAAACTAATGAAAACATAGTTATGAATATTACTATATCCACCAACTGATGCCCCTAAATCCCACACACTGGACCTTTCAAATAAAGATGAGTAGAGTTAAGGTAGTAGGTGTTGTGATTGCTCTCACTAATCCGTGCAGATAAAAGCTCTCAATAGATAACATTCAATATAGAGAGAATGAAAGATGCTTAGTAATGAATGGTTTAACATCAGTTGTGCATGGGCTTCTCTGTGATTCCCTAACATGTTTAAATATGTTAGTAGACCCACATTTGAAGCAGGAACTCTGCTTGTTCATATTATGACTAAGCTCCCGCCGTCGTATTTGCACACTGACCATTTTTCTTCAGAGCACTGTCTATGAACTGTGCAGCAGAGCTGAAAAAAGGTCGGAGGTTGAACTCCGGATGGTCTGCAGCTTCAACGCCATGATATTCCACTTCGAGGTCACTGTAGAACTGCTGACCTGTGTTGATCCGGTGTCGACCCGCTGCAGCATTCAGTATGTGAGTTACACCCAGAGACGAAAGTGTGTTTTTGTCTCGGGCCACAGACCTGCAGACACACACTACACTCATTGACAGATCTTTTTACAACATTTCAAGCTGCTGGTGATTTTTCTACTCACTCATCTCCAATGTACAGGTTCGCCCAGACTTGATTGACGGGTGCCACTGGCTTCCTGTTGGTCCAGAGGATTTGCCTCAGCTCTGTCAGAGATGGTGTTTCCTCCTGGGAGTGACCTCTGTGTAGCAATAAAGATGTGTGTGTGTCTGTGTGCATATGTGTGTGTGCATATGTTATGGCTTTGTGTGTGTCTTTGTGTGTCTTTACAGTGTTTGGGCCTGTCGGCGCCTCCTCCGCTCCCTCTCCAGGCTCATGTCGAGGCTGCGGAGCTGAAACAGGAAGCCTGGGTTGGGACAGATGTCTCTGTGAGGCTTTACCGCGGCCACTGCCTCCTGCAGCCTCAGGCCCTCAACAATCATCAGGTAGGCCAGCACCAATGTTGCAGAGCGACTCACACCCATCAGACAGTGGACAAATACCCGTCCTGGGACAAGGACATTCACTGTTACCATCAGCACCAGATATGCAGCAAAATACTCACTTTATTAGGTACACCTGCACAATCAAATGCAGTCCAATACATCAACAGTGCCATAACATTTATCTTAACAAAACTTAAACCCCTCAGTCTGTGTTGACATTGTCATAAATGTGGGCTGATTATAACCTCAATGACATAGCAGCAAGACACACAGACTTGTGCTGTTGTTTTGCATCTTTTCATAGTGGTAATGCTACTCTGTGTTTTTGTGTCTCTTTGTGGTCATGTTGAGTCTCTTTGTAACTGTTTTGTGTCACTTTGCAGTTAATGCATCTCTCCACGGTTTTGTGTCTTTTTGTAGTTGTTTTGTGTCTCTTTAGTTGTTTTGTGCCTTGGGCCATATTGTGTCTCTTTGTAATAATTTTGTGTCTCTTTGCAGTTAATGCATCTCTCCATGGTTTTGTGTCTTTTTGTAGTTGTTTTGTGTCTCTTTAGTTGTTTTGTGCCTCTCTATGGCCATATTGTGTCTCTTTGTAGTAATTTTGTGTCTCTTTGCAGTTATAACGGATCTCTCTGTAGTTTTGTGTCTTATTATAGTTGTTTTGTGTCTCTTTGTTGTCACTGTGTGTCTCTTTGTGTTAATTTTGTGTCTTATTATAGTTGTTTTGTGCCTCTCTATGGCCATATTTTGTCTCTTTGTAGTCATTTTGTGTCTCTTTCTAGTTGTTTTGTGTCTCTGTAGCTGTTTTGTGCCTCTTTGTGGTCATTTTGTGTCTCTTTGTGGTCATTTTGAGTCTTTTTGTTGTCATTTTCTGTCTCTTTGTAGTCATAATGCATTTCTCTGTAGGTTTGTGCCTCTTTGTTGTCATGCTGTGTCTTTTTGTCACCATTTTGATTCTCTTTGTAATTGTTTTGTGTCTCTTTGTGGTTATGGTTGTTTTGCCCGTTTTTAGTTGTTATGAGTCTCTTCGTGTCTCTTTGCAGCTGTTCTGCATCTCTCTACAGTTGTTTTATGTCTGTGGTCATTTTTAGTCTTCGTCTGAGCTGCATGCATCTCTTGGAGTGACATTTTGGAAGTGAAGGCCAAGGGGGTCCCTGACCCTTTGAAGCCTCAAGGCCTTTGCCTGGTAAGAATGTTCAGTAACCCATCCATGGTCATAAACGTGCAATTTCTATGATAAATGTATTATTATTATTTTTTTATCCTCCTTATATAGGTTCATTAGAGAGGCAGAATATTATTAAAACCTCTCAGTATAATACAGTTCAGTACATTATCAGCAATAATGACTGAAATGATTAAAAAAAATCATCATCATAGGCATCATAAAATTAAACCTTATGGCATGACAGTTGCATAGGATTGTATTATATTGTACAGGTGTTCCTAATAAAGTGGCCACTGAGTGTAACTCCACTCACACACACACTAAGATGTAAGTGTGACTGACTTGCCTCCCATGCCCAGTGCGGCTCGGATGTATCGTGCTGTTGGGTAAAAGAAAGGACTAAGGACGAACTCTATTGCATCATCAGCCTCCACCCCATAATAATCCACTGTCATATCTCTGTAGAAACGAGGGCCGGTGTTGACATAGAAAAAGGAGGCAGTGCCAGGGGGTTGGTGAGCAGCGTTTACAATGTGGGTTATGCCCAGACTGTGCAGAGCGGCCTTGTCACGAGCCGCCACCCTGAAACACACACATACATACACACACATTCACTTCTGTGTGAGTAAAGGGTGTATACGTATGTACATGACAGTGTGTGTGAACCTACTCGTTGCCTATGAAAAGGTTAGGCCAGACTTGATTGACATGTCCTGTAGGTCGCCTGTCTTCCAGGAGGAACTCCTGCAGCTCTGCGACAGAAGGAGGTTCATATGGTGGATCCCTAAGAGACATACTGACACACACACACACACACACACACACACACAAGAAGCACATAGGCATTTACTTTGTTAAATTATATATGAGCTCACCGGCCACTGCTGCTTCTCCTAACGATATACCTCCCACTATGACCTTTTCTTAGAGAGCTAATGCATACATTAATCTTCAGTGGTAAAGCCAGAGAGGACAGACTGAGCAAACTAACCTGTTTCCACTCTGAATCCTCCTGTATGAACTCACCTCACTTCAAGGCACAGCTCTTCTCCTGCTGTGCTCGCTCTTACTTCTCTGTTCACACACTCCAGCATATGACTGTTTCCTTTTATAACTCTGTAATCATACACTCATTAGTGAAAAACATCCTACCTAATAAATTTATCAGCAGTTCGAGCTCTTTAAAACACATTTAATCCATTCTGACTACATGCCTGTGTTCACATTCTTATGGACAACAATGTGGCATTATCCTGTGACCTCTGACATTAGCTCACTTGCTCAGTTTCCATGACTGTTATGTAACACACCGCTATGTTGGAGAGTAACGCCAGCTGCTCTGCTTCTGTAAGTAATACGATCCAGGCTGTAAATAACATTCAACAGTGACGTGTTAACTTTCACTGCATTTGTTGGATTTACATCATGCTGAATTATTTACCATGAATCAGAAATGTAGGTTATGTTTATTGCATTTTGTAACAGGAAGAAATTATGGCTTTGAGTATACAGTACATGAATAAGTGTTTTTGATCAGACAAGACACGTCTTAAACAAACTCTCTGGTTAAAGGAATTATTAAAGAATGACAAGACATCTTATTGCTCTGTTTGGTCAAAAGGTGTATTGATAATAGTTTAAAACATATTTTAAACATATTTTTGTCTTTAATATTTATTTCGTAACACTCATTTTATATCCATCCAGTCAGGATACTTCCATTAAATACAATAAAACATCTTTATTGTATATTCACAACAAGTCATGAAGCTGTATTTACAGAGCCTGTGGACACGCCTGACACCACCGACAGGTAGCATTTGAATACATTTTGAATATGAAAAACCGCAGAGAAACATATTTACAATATTTCACAACACATGACCATTGCAGAAGGTAAACTTGTGCATAAAAAGTAGACAACCTAATAAAAAACGATGGAATTTAAATGGTCACCATCAAACTCACACCTCTAGCTACATCATACTCATTCTGACTCTTTAAAGATATACTGATGAGAGTGGAGTGTGACACGTGGAAATAGAGAGAGAGGTCTTGAGGTGACGAATGGCTAATGTGACGAAGGAGTTTGGGGGGGGTGAAAAAAGAGGTGGAGGGTTGTCAGAGAAGAGGACACAATCTCCGTCTGAGTGTCAGCTGTTCATCCAGCTTGAGGAGGAGTGACAGGAAGTTCCTGTTGGGATAAATGGCTCGTTTTTGGGCGACATGTCTCAGAGCGTCTCTCAGAGGAAGACGCTGCCGCAGCATCAGATAAGCCAGGACCAAAGTGGCCGATCGACTCACACCCATGATGCAGTGCACCAGCACTTTGCCTATAGAGCAGGACAGAGAAGGAGAAAGGAAATAGAGAAAATGTTAAACAGCTAATATATAAACTTAAATCCCCCCCTCCCCCTCCACACACACACACACAGCTTTTCTAAATAAATTGTTGTACATGTCGCAATGTTTAAGGCTGTTTTCGTGCATTGACATTGTGGGTGAAAGTCAAAGTTGTGATGCTGTCTTAGAAATGGAACCTTTAATTATGAGAATTTAATGTTTCCCACAGAATAACAGTCCATTTGTGAACGTAGGGGAACCGGGGGTGGGTGGGGCAGCAGCTGATAGCCGACAATCAGCTGTTGCAGTCATCGGACACAACTGTGAAGGACTGTCTCCGTGAACTGCTCTCTTTTCACATTAGCATGAGGTAACACAGAAGCAGGAGCTGCAATCTGACGTAGAGCCATTAAATAGTACCAACAATCTCACACTGACATTGAATGGCTCATCTCTGTCGTTAAATCCATTAATAACCATTGGGTAACATTAGCAGTGTGATGCTAACATTCAGCCCTCTTTGTGTGACTTTTCCCAAGTGTTGAGATCACATTCCTGCAGTAGTAGTCTCACAATAAACAGAGAGACAGAGAGGACAGGGCAAGGAGGCACTGAGTGAATCAATACGCTGCATGCAGCTCCACAATGAAATGAGATTTCACCCTTTTTAAATAGTCAAATTTGTGAAGAGTGGAAGAAATTGCAATGTCTCACAGAATTCCCTGGAATTGGCTGAATTTGTGTTAATTGTTGTGATCGCAACATCTTGGAGGGTCTGCCTGATAAAAACGTGAAAGTAGGAGAGGACTTATATTTGGATGAACTGTTAGAATGTGACTCAGTAATGCAACAATGCCTCCAGTGAAGTAAGTGGTGACAGTATGCATCCATAAAAGCAACTATGTTCGGTTGAATCAGGAAGTAGCATGACATTTTCAGAAAACTGATGCAGAAAATTTTTTGAGGAAGGTTCCCCTGACCCCCATGTGCTGAAAAATAAAATCTACCCCCACACATTCATATATCGTACCATCTTTGTTCTTCAGGGCTTTATGTATGAAGTCAGCTGCAGGTTTGACGTACTGACTGAGGTCAAAGCGCTCTGAATCTTCTGCTGGGATGCCAAAGTAGACACAGGTGTTCCCATAAAAACTCTGGTCACCAATGCTGCCCTGCTTGGAGTGTGCTGCATTCAGGACATGTGTGACGCCAAGCTTATGTAATGTCTTTCTATTCTGTGCCACGGCCCTGGAAAACACACACACAAAGAGATGAACGACAGGAATAAAGAAGAAATATGTGAAACAGAATCATGGAATGATGTTAAGATGCAGATATGCAGGTTCTGTACTTTAACAAGCTGTTAAAACTGATCAGTTTTTGTCGTGCAGAGCTCATGAAGGTCTCTGCAACAGACTACAAACACAAGACACTCACACGTTTCCTATGTACAGGTTGGGCCAGACTTCATCCACTGGTGTGAGCTCCAGTGTGCAGGAATCCAAGATGAGCTCTAGTTCTTTAATGAGCACCAGGTCCTGTGGCTGGCTGCTCCCTGACATTCTCCTCAAACACAGAGTGCTCGTCCAACAGACTGTGTCCACCGTCCCTTCACCTCCAGAGTCTGCAGCTCAGTGAGAGACGAGGGCAGGTGGTGGTTTGAATGCCGCTCTCCTCCAAAATTAGCTCTCTGTGTACAGTGAGTTCTCTCTGACTGTATGGAGAGTTATTTAACGTTGCTGTTGCATTGATTGGTCTGTTCACTGATGCAAAGGTCCAGCGGGAAAAGACAGGGACGGTCTCTGTCACCATTGAGGTCACATAGGGAGAGGACAAGAAGGGAGGGGAGGGCTGAACACAGCCGAAGTGTATAGTGTATACATACAGTACATGGTACAAATGGAGACAGTCTTGCATGGTGTGAATGAGGACATTGACATCTGCAGACTAAGCGAGGACAGTTCAATGGATTTATTGCGTAGAGTATCTCCTCCCTTTGTTTTACTTTGACTCATTCATCCTTTTGTCCTGCAGTTTTCTGTCCAGGGCTATAAGCTGTCGCAGGAAGCCTCTGTTTGGGAAAATCCAGCGTTTCTGTTGCACGCAGCGTACAGAGGACAAAAGACTGAGGTGGTGATCAATCATCAGGTAGGCTAGGACCAACGCAGCTGAGCGACTCACGCCCACAGCACAGTGCACAAACACCTTTCCTGGACATGATAAGACACAAAGACACTGAAAATACCCAACAGTAGCTGTTTTGTCACCTCTAAAAACACGTGTACAGTACCTCCTGATGTCAAAGCCTGGTGGATGAACTCAGCAGCAGGGTAGAAAAAAGGTGAAAGGTCAAATGTTGGCAGGTCGTTGGCTGGGACGCCGTAGTATTTCACCGTGGTTCCATAAAAGTCATCACTGCCCTTACAGCACAGTTTCCCATGCGATGCGTTCAGTACGTGAGTGATGCCCAGCTGCCACAGCCCGAGCTTGTCATGAGACATAAACCTGAGACATATACCACATTTGATACACAATTCAGACACATGTAGATGAACGTAAATTAACCACAGGATACTCACATGTCCCCCAGATACAGGTTGGGCCACACCTCATCTCCGTGGCGACAGGAGCTTGTAGCTGAATATAAAACCTCTTCCAGCTCCTGGAGAGATGGGATCTTCTCCCTCGTCCTTTTTGAATCCTCTGTGGCACATGTGCACTTTTCCTCCTCTCCTGGGTCTGTGTCCCTGACGACTGTCTGCGCAGAGTCTTGTGTATCACACCTCACCTCAGAGACTGGTTTCATGTCTGTCATTTCTAAGTTTATAGGGCATAAACTACTCTGTTATTCCCCTAAAACCAAATCACGCTGCTGCCTGTTGACTTTGCTGTGGCTGCTGCAGCCTCTGACTGTCAATAACAGGTGGTGCAGATTGGCACAGACTCAGTCAAACTCTCACTCATGGAGATGTGTTTATATTCACATTACTGCTTTGATATCCACTGCTTGTTGGGGTTTTCCCCATGTTCACAGGTGTAGATTTCAGGGACATGCCCCCTCCAATATTTAAGTCATGTGTATCTGTCCCCTCCAACAAAAGCGTGAAAGTAGCAGAGGACTTTTATTGTGACATTCACACCATGAACTGATGCAAAAAAATCACCAGAAGTGCATAAAATTAAATGTTTGATGTTCATAATTTTCTCAATTATCTTACAGAGAATCCCCATATTCCCCCAAAGGAAACATACATTGATCATTTGAGCATGGGCAAAAACATTGTGGAATCTTCTTATTAAAAGTCCAGTGTGGAGGATTTAGTGGCATCTAGTAAGCTGAAACTTCTCCCGTGTGCCAGACACGTAGGAGAACTATGGTGTACATGAACACGCGAATGGTCCTATCTAGACCCAGTGTTTGATTTGTCCATTCTGTTTTACTGTAGAACAACACAGCAGACTCCATAGAAGAGGACTGTGGATGCATAAAGAGAACTGGAGTCAGCACTGAAGTCAAGATCCAGTTCTTTCCTATAAAAGTTGCTGAGTGACGCATGAAGCCAAAAACATCTAACTGCTGCGTACCAAGATGATCGCATCTGCATCTGCATCAGCATCAGCCAGGTGGGCTACCTCCATCTTAGCTGTCTACTAACTTAAATGGGGTAAATCAATTTAATGAAGTCCTCTAGACTGTCCAAATGTTAATGGGCTGAACAGATCAAATCTTGATAATGCAATGAGTTATTTCCAGGAGGTTGTGATGGTCAAATCATTGTATTACAGATTTCACAATCTAAGTCTATGGGGAAAAGTCTTTTTGGGCTCAATAGCATTACCAAAAGTTGGGTTTAAAGCCTTGCACACTTCCTGGGGGCCTGAAAAGGGCCCATGCAAGAACATTAAAAAGTAAATGGACCTATCTAGAGCAAGTGCTTGGTTTGTCTGATCTGGGCTACTGTAGAAACATGGCAGTGCAGCATGGGGATCTCCATAGAGGAGGACTCACTCCCTATGTAGATATAAACAGCTCATTCTGAGGTAAAGAAAACACCTGCCAACTGTGCCCCTAAATCCTACACACTGGACCTTCAGTGTGTCACAGTAAGATGATATCAAGCTGGTGAACAAAGGACCTTGGTGACATTGATACGCTCCCCTGCCTGTGCCTGTGCTGTCAGGTCTAAACCAAATACTGCATGAAATTCAATTTTTTTTATATATATATAGGGAGCCTGTAAACAGATCCTAGTTTTACCTGAACACGGCCAGCAGATGTCAGTGTGCTTTTACAAGCAGCCCTGCAGGAGCCCACCAGCTCTTCTTTAATACTGTTGTTTATTGTTGTCTCTTCCTGGTTGGTGTTGCCTAGTTGTCACAGAAGCATGTTGGCCATGAAATACTCCAGACACACATCTGATCTCTACCTTCTGCCAGCACAGTGACAGTGGACTTATGGTAAGAGAGGCAGCAACTGTTTAATATTGTCTGTAAAGTAAGTTTGACACTACTAAATGTACTTCATGTGACTGTTTTGTTCTCATTTCAACACACACCCTTCTACTTTTGTTTATGTGAGGAAAACACTGTTTAATTTGTTCCATGCTGCCATAAAATATGATTTAATTGCTCTCAGTTGACCTCGTGCTGAAATGTAGCAGTGTGGCGTTGCTTTGTGGTCCTGTGGTGGACAGACTATGAGCCCATTGTCCAAGTGTCTCTCTCTCACACACACACACTGAAGGGCTTTCTCTCTCACAGCTGTGTGTCACAGCTCACTGACTCACTGTAAGCCAGCCAAACAAGCTGACATGGCACTTATGAATCCCCCAAGTAAAGCCTCGGGCAGAGAAGCTGCAGGATGTTGCCAGTAAAATCTCGAGGCCAGTTAAAAATAACTTATTTCTCTCTGAGGGAATGGAGCAGCAGCTACCCAGGTGAGGTGCTTTAGGTTTCAGACATGTAAATATTTAATATTCATCAGCTGACTGTTGTGTATGATCCTTCACTGGCAGTCTGACACCATAGATCTGCATTATCAGCAAGCTTTGATAGGTGCGATGGTGACTGGGAGGTTATTGGCAAAATCTGACCTCCTGCTATTGTTGAAAGAGGATGTTGATGTCAGTGATGTGATGTCATATTAGGTGTGACTGTGAGTCTCCTTACGAGATTGGATAATGTGGGAAACTCTCATTGATTGTGAGACTTAAATGAATTCATGTAATGTACAGGAAAACCTGTTTCACTGTGTCACAGCCTTTTAAGACTAGAACATGATGTTTAATCTGTATGATAATATGATACTGTTGAAATTTTCAGCTGATATTTTTGATCTTGTGTCAACACACTGACAACATTTTGAATAGAGCTTAAACCATTCATTGATTTTTCTTAGATGGTATCAGATTTTGTAGTATGAGGATTAGGGTTGCAACTAACAGTTATTGACTTTATTAAATTGTAGTTTGTTGTTTTTTAAGTCAGAAAAAAGTGCAAAAAATTTCACCAGTTTCCTGGCCCAAGGTGGTGTATTTAGATATTCAGTTTCCTACAATGTAAGACAACAAAAAGCAGCAAATTCTCAAATTAAAAAAGATAAAACTGTAAAAATATATCATGTTTTGCTCAAATAAATTAATGGATGATGAGAATATATGGATATATTTTTGTTCATCTCCTTACTTATTAATCTAATAACTGTTTCAGCTATAGTGAGGATTAGCTGCTTTTCTTGTTTTACATTCCAGTAAACTGAATATTTAGGATTTAGGACTGTTGGGCAAAAATAATGCAATTGTGCCTTCATGTATGAGCATTTATTGATTTCTCAGCATACTAGTATTCTTTAGTAAGTTTATTATCTCCCTACAGACCTGGTGCTGTCCCATGGATTTCTATAAGTCTATCTCCACCAGTGTGATGAATTAAAAAGATCCTGTAACTCATTATGATAAGAAACTTTCTCAAAATAATGAGTTGGTATTTCAGTACACTAACAATACTAAATCGTTATTTTTGAGAAAGTTTCTCATTTTTTTGAGATACCAACTAATTATTTTGAGGTCAAGTAATTATTTTAAGGAAGTTTTTTCATTGTAATCACTTACAGGATCTTTATTTTTCACACTGGTTGAAATGGTCATTCATTGCTGATAACCGAAAGCTGCTGACTTGGTAATTTCAAGTCTGTATCTGCCGTCCAGTCAGCACGTAGACTATCTCTCACGTTTAGTAGTCAACAGTCGTGTTGATTGAGCCCTGCAGACCTTTGGAGCAGTTGGGAGGCGAGGGCGAGCAGCGTTGTGGTGAGCTTATCAGTGGGTCAAAGAGCAAAGACAAGAAAAAGACAGAGCAAAGAGGAGAGTTTCATCAGTCTGTCTGTGGGAGAGGAGCTTACTTACCCTGCTTGTTTTGTGGATGGTTAGTGACTCACTGCTTTTTTATTATCATGAAATGACAGCTGTGGAACAGAGAGGATGTTCACACTCAAGTCAGGTTGAATTCTGTTTGTTTGCTTTGGTTTGACACATACTGTAAAACGCAGAATAGAAAAGAAGACACTTCACTGTCTATTTTTTGCATGCAAAGGGCAGAAATTTGTCTTTGATTTGCATGTGCAAATCTGCTACAGAAAAGGGAACATTAAACAAATCATAACATCCAGACAGGACGCATTAAAACACATTTACATAAAAACACAACACAGGCCTGTTTTATGTGGATCAGAGTGTCAGTGTGCAGAACTACACTGTACACTACTGCTCTGCTGTACGGACCTGAACACAGGTGATGGAACAGAACTGAGCAGCCGGCAGTTTGTAGGTGCTGGCTCATGTGGAGTAAGAGCACATACAAGCTGCTGCACAGCAGATCACCTGTACAATGACCTCCCAATCAGTCATAGTGTAACATATCTGCCACATGCATTCTTCCACAGTGTGTATTAGTGACTGTATTATAGTGCTTCAGGTAATGTGAGGAATTGCTGCTTCTCTTTTTTATATCATTTAAGATGGCAACTAAAATTTGTTTTCATTATCTGTCAATCAGTGTATGAAATGTAAGAAAATTGTAAAAAATGTTCCCAGAGCGATGTCTTCAATTTACATATTTTGTCTGACTAACAGTCCAGAACCCAAAGAAACACAGTTTAACAGGACATAAAATAGAAAAGCAGAAAATCCTCACAATTTAGAAGCTTGAACAAGAGACTGGAGTTTTTGCTGAAAAAATAACAAACTAAAATGAGTACTTGAGTATCAACATACTTGCAAGGCAAATTTCCTAATGACTGACTACAGTCAATCAATGGACTAATCCTTTCAGCTCTAATATTGTAGATTTGATATCTTTTGGATGAAAGGCTGGTTTGGATTTGAAATTTTGATGGGCATTTTGACATTTGACGTACTAAATGGTTGCCATTCAATTAGTTAGAAAAATAACTGTCAGTCCAATCAGTAATGAAAATACTCATTAGTTGCAACCTGTGAACAAAATAATTCAAATCCTTTGTAGAAATTTGCTGTTGTTTAGTGGTGTACTTGTACACAGTAGATTGATCTTGAGGACACACAGAGTGGCTCGGACTGTCTAGGTCAGGGGTAGGCAACCTTTGGCTCCTGACGCTGCATGTGACTCTTTAGCCCTGCTCTTATGGCTCCAAGTAGCTTTGACAAAAAAAAAAATATGGAAATGAATAACCATCATTTTTTATTTTAATTTATTTTTGTAGGCCTAAATTGATTCTTAATCTTCAATGGTAAAACGTGTAGCCTATACACTGATTAAAACAAATATTTTAACATTTCATCAACTAAAATGTGCGTTAGGCATCTGTGGCCCGGTGCCTTTTCCTCTACAAACATCACTAGCAATGGCTGCAGCAGTCTTGAGTCCTCCTTGCTAGGCTAGCTGTGAATTCCAAATCCAACTTAATCTGACAGATTAATTTGCTTTAATCTGCAACTCTGCAAAGTTAAAGAAACAAATAATCATAAATAGCCCACTGCAGAGTAACTTCCTTATGCTAAAGCAAATGAGGGATGCTCATTTAGATCTATTAAGAATGTTGATAGGCTAAATTCAACTTAAAAGGCTGTGTTACCTTTAATATAAGGCCCAAATATTTTTCTGATTTTGTTTTTCTTTTTTGGCCAAAAATGGCCCTTGGTCTAGGTAATTTTGGAGCTGAAACAATTTGTCATTTAACTGATTAGTTGACTGACAGAAAATTAAACCAAGGTATCTAGATAATCAGTCAGTCATTTGAATTCTTTTTCAAGTGAATAATGCCAGAAGTGTGGTAGATCCTGCTGCTGCAGTTTGAGGATTTGATATGTTTTTTCTCTGTTTTGTATCACCGTAAACTTATTTTTTGATGAAACAAAACATTTGAAGATGTCACATTGGATGCAGGGAAAATTTGGGGTTTTGTTTGCCATTTTTTATGTCTGGCTCATTTAAAATAAAAGAAAGTGTCCATATGTGTCCCAGATCACCTCTGAATGTTGTCTAAGCGATTGGCTTTCAAGATGCATATAAGACACACTGGGTGCATTCACACCTGTACTGTCCACTTATGATGCAATCACCCAAAATAATACCAGGTGTAAACAGGGCCTTACAATGTAGGGCAAGTGGTTGTGATCAAAAGTATGCAAATTAAACAGCAGCCTAATTAGATGGATAAGTGTCAGGCAGTTTTGCATTCAAACAACAGGACTGACTGTGACAAAAACAGTAATGAAATCAAGAGGTGAAAACACAGTGGAGAAGGAAGTGCTAATTACCAATGGTTGTTTTCATCTTCATTAAGCCCATTACTAACACTGAATGTCTGTATCTGCAGTGGCATGGCACCGCCAAAGGACAGTGTGAGTGCCTGGAGCTGTAAGCAGGTGGCCCAGTGGCTGCAGGAAGAAGGTTTTGGAGAGTATGTGGAGTTATTGTGTGCCCAGCACCGCCTGGATGGCCTCAGCCTGCTGGCTCTGACTGAGGCCGATCTGCGCGGGCCTCCACTGGGCCTCACTGTGCTGGGAGACATCAAGAGGCTTACCATAGCCCTCCGCAGGCTTCAGAGACAGAACCAAGCTCAGCTGGAGGAGCTGGGTCTCCAGCCTTCAGACAGTCTCCCAGCTGGGCTCTTGTTGGGTACCGTAGGGGGTGATTGGAGCTGTGACGGAGCTGACAGGAGGTATAATGGAGGTGATCACTTGTGTAATGGGACAGAGCTGCGGCTGAGGAACAGTGACAGATCTGGATGCGGCTTAGGAGCTGCAGTGTGTCATACACACTCCAACGGGAGGTACAGGCAGCAGCACTTGGCTGGCAGACTGGACCCAGAGGTGTGGAAGACAGTCATGAGCTCCATATACGTCTTTTTAGTATTTGGATTCACATCTTTTGTCATGGTCATCGTACATGAGCGTGTCCCGGACATGAGGACGTACCCACCACTGCCTGACATATTCCTGGACAGGTATGGATCCAGTGCATGTTGAGCAGACTCCATAGTTCATGTTCACACTCCCCTGCACTCATATCTAATCTGCATGCTGACACACATTCTTGTACTCTGACAGTGTTCCCAGAATCCCTTGGGCTTTTGCAATGGCTGAAGCCTGTGGCCTCATCCTGTGTTACATGTTCTTGTTGATCCTGCTCCTCCACAAACACAGGTAATCCACTGTTCTAGCTCACTGACACACTGTGTTCTAGTAACATGTGCAAATAGAGCACATCACCACTAAAACACGAGGTGTTAAAAATGCAAATATAAAGATATTGGCCAAGGAATGAATTATGAATGTCTCTATTTCAGGTCCATTCTCTTCAGACGGCTGTGTTCTTTGATGGGGACTGTGTTTTTGCTTCGTTGTTGCACCATGTTTGTCACCTCGCTCTCTGTGCCTGGGCAGCACCTGAAGTGTGCCAGTAAGGTGGGAAGCGCTCATGACATTATGTGCAGATTAGATAAAGTTTGGTTTGGTGTGGCCAGTAATTCTTGTTGCCATTGGCAGTGTTGCAGTTTATTCTTGACTCAGCATTCCCACTATGATAAGCGCCGAACAGCTGCTGCTGAGTTTCACACAGCATGACTGATATAACTGGTGTGTTTTCTTCCTCAGTCATACGGTGATACGTGGGGAAAGATACAAAGGGCGCTACTGATCTGGAGTGGGTTTGGGATGACTCTGACCGGTGTCCAAACATGTGGAGACTACATGTTCAGTGGACACACTGTTGTCATTACAATGCTCAACTTCTTTGTGACTGAATGTGAGTGTCACTATTTTTTTTTTTTTTTGGCTTTTAACTACAGAACGGACAACTTTAGAGTATGTGTGACTCTTGTTAAAGGGACAGTTCACCCTGAAATTAAAAATACATATTTTTCCTCTTAACTGATGTGCTATTTATCAGTCCGGATTGTGCATCAAATTGCCGTCCTCCTCGGCTGAGCTGTAATGTTAGCTCAGTGGTGCAAGGTGAGCTCAATGGTCAATGGGTGTAGTTCAGTAGAAAGAAAAAAGTTCCCACTGTGTATGAAACTGCTCACATCAAGGCCTGTGGATTAGCTTGCATAACCAGGTCATAATTTCTGGAAAGAGACATTGCTGTTGAGGTTTCCAAATATATTTTTTGGCGCTTTGAGCACCACAAGCTGAGTGCCATCTAGTTCTGTTACATGTAAGAGAAGGCAGATATCTCTATGTCTGATATCTCCAACACTCTGCAGCTCACACCAAAACAATCTAAGTTGATAAATAGCACTACAGGTAAGAGGAATTTGTATTTGTGTTTGGGGAGAACTGTCCCTGTAAATGATAAAGCTGATTTTATTATATATTATATTTTAAATTTATATACGATCAACAAATCGATGACAAGATCAAAACCATAAATGCTGTGGTACATTTCTCAGTACCTTCTGACTTCCCTCTTCTGTCTGTGGTTTTCAGCCCCAAGCCCATTAGTTCCTTTGAAGAAATCCTTTTTATATCTCTATGCCAGCGATAAATGGAGCCAGAGGCATTATGTTTTCCACCAATGTCTCTAGAACGGCTTGAGGGACATGTTTAGCACATATGTTTACTTGGACTCACAGATAAAATAGTCAGAATTCAGTGGTCAAAGGTCAAAGGTGACCTCACCAATCATGTGTTAGCCATAACTCAAGAATAAATATGCTAGTTATGCCACATTTTCACACAAATGTTTAATAGGATTAAATGATGAAGTGATAACATTTTATGTCCAAAAGGTCAAAGGTCAACTGTGACATTATAATGTTCTGCAAAAACACTTCTCTTGAATAATGAATCAATATTATAAGTTAGAATCAGAAGGGGAGACATTTAGTCAGATGCTGATTTGGTGACTAATTTTGGGTGTCCTCCTTGAAACTGTGCTGACTGTATAGATCTTCTGTGCTGCCGAGGGGAAGATGTGGTAAAACATCCACAGACATGAGTGTAAATTGTAAGGTCAACTTGACTTGTTTGTGGAGGCATACAACTGCAAAGCAATAATTCTAGTTTCAAGTTATTTCCATCAACAGCTGGGCATTGTAGTTTTCAGCAAATGTTACTCAAACAAGAGTGAATTTTGTATTTGTTGGGGACTATTTTCTAATGCGGATTAACACACATTTGGCATACTAAGGAGTATTTACAGCCACAGGACAATCAACTCAAACTAAACATGTTCATTGTAATGAAGGAACATGTCGTCCATTTCAACAAGGTGGCTCACTGATGTGTTTTTGATCGACATTGGAGCTCTGTGTCTCTGAGAAATAAACTGTATCAGGCTCTGGATATGTTGGGCACTTTAATTGTACTAAGTTGGTTTTGGTCTTTTCATGGTATTTGTTCACAATAGGGAAAAAAAAGAAAGAAATCTATATATTTTCTTTAATGATCTCTTCAATTGCAGACACTCCACGATCCTGGAATCTCATTCACACTATCTCCTGGGTGTTAAACCTGTTCGGGATCTTCTTTATCCTGGCGGCTCATGAGCACTACTCTATCGACGTTTTCATCGCCTTCTACATCACCACTCGCCTCTTCCTCTACTACCACACCTTAGCCAACACTCGTGCCTACCAGCATAGTCGGAGGGCGCGCATTTGGTTCCCCATGTTCTCCTTCTTTGAGTGCAATGTGAATGGACCTGTTCCCAACCAGTATCACTGGCCCTTCAACAAACCTGCCTTCATGAAAACTCTGATTGGATAGAGTACGCTTTCTAAGATCTGCAGCTGCAATGTGCATGGACTGTAATATTAAAGCCTGAATGAGAAACTTTTACCTGAGATGCTGCTTCTTATCTTTCAGAGGTTATAAGTTCATTACGTGGGAGGTTTTTTCCCTCATTTGTACAAATGGAGGATTTTTATTTTGAAATATAGTTATTTGCTTTTTTGCTGAAGGTTAGATGTAAAGATTGTTCCCACTCTCATCTATGTCTGTTAAATATGAAACTGAAGGGTGAAGCCAAAGAGGAAGTGCCTTAAACTTGTGTTCTTTCTAATGGCCACTAGAGGGCGACTCCACTGGTTGCAAAAAAAGTCCGATTGTATACAAGTCGACAGGAAAATGAGCCTACTTCACTTGATTTATTACCTCTGTAAACATTCTCCTGATGAGTCTTTGGTCTCAAAGGTTAGTTTCAAGTACAGCATGATGTTTGTTTTGTAAGTTATGGTCCCATTCGGGTGAGGTTATGATACTTTGCTGCCACAGCAGTGTCCTTGAATTCTCAGTCAGATCCAGCCCTTGCTCCACCACAGCTCCACCCTCTTTACCAACATGGTCACTTTTGGCTCCAAAAAAAAAAAAAGATAGTGACAACCAAAATGCCAAACTCTATGATATGAAGCCACAGCGAGCAGATAATTACCATAGCGTATCGTAAAGACTGGTAACTGGGGGGAAACAGCTAGCATGGCTCTTTTTGAAGGTAAAACATTTACTGACAGTACCAGCATCTCAAAAGCTCAGTGATTAACTTTTGTTTAAGCATGTAACCTCAGGTTTATTTGTATTTCATTTGTACAAAAGGGGGAGTTTTTTTTTTCTTTGGACAAAGCCTGGCTAGCTGTTTCCCTCTGTTTGCTGTTTTTATGCTAAGCTAAGCTAATCAGCCGCTGGCGATAAAATCATATTTAGCACACAGACTTGAGAATGTTTCCATGTAAGAGTTAGATGAGAGAGCGAATAAGTGTATTTCCCATTTCTTTATATTTAATTGCACAGCTCAATGTAAAACAAAGAAATGCGGTTCATTATAGGGATGCAGGTGCGAATCGTTTTCTCTGAGATTTATTTGCCTTTGATTGTCACTTTGATCGTTCATGTTCCACATTGGGGGTGTTTAAGGTTCACAGGTGGTTCGGGTCTACAGTAGGAAACTGATGAGGCTGTATGCAGGTTCATACTGTAGTTTTGGGAGTCGTCATGGGCACAGTTTATATATTGTTTTGCTGCAAAGAGATTTGACACCTGTTTGGTACCTACTACCAAAGTTTCTTTTGATGTGCAACAGGAAAGACACTTCCTGTTCTCTACTGACAGAGTTCTGTTTCAGTCACCATTTTTTTTTAATTTACACTTTATAAATTGAACTCTACAGCTTTGTTGTGTTTTATAATCTCACCACTACATTCACAGTTAAACCAAATATCTCAACATTTATTGTAATGTTCAGTGTTGCCAATCAGCCCTCACTATAATTATTTCTTTGTCCTAATTTGATAGTGTTTTTTGTTTGTTTGTTTGTTTTTTTTAACAGATTTTTAATCATGCAACAAGTAGAGAAGTGAATGGAGGTGGATTTTGTTAAAGCTTTATTGTCCAGAATTTTTCTCTGTTGCACAGTACAAAAACTGGCTGTTTGGATAACAATGCTTCAAAAGTATATTGTTTACTTCGTCATAGTTGATCCAAACTATATCTTTTAAATAATTGTTTACAATTTATGGCTTTATTTGCAATGCAAGTAATCTCTCTCTGCCTTTTGGCTCAGCAATAAACGTTTACAGGAAAACTGTTTTTTATATTCTGACTGACTGTTTCCTTGGCTGCTTTTGTTACTAATATGTTTCTTTTTGCATTTGTTGAATAAAGTCAGTTACAAATATTACTAGAAGTCCAGATTATTGTGAGTTAGTAAAAAAAAAAAAAGAACATTCAGTATCAATCATGGGTGAAATTATCATGATTTAGAGGGGTGTGCCTTCAATATCAACACAACCTATATACTTGCTTTTCTTCCCCACCTTAAAACAAATATTTGACAAAAGTCACATTGCTGTTCAAATATTATCAATACTGATATGCAGGAGGACACACCCTGATATAAAGCCTCTATTGGAGAGTCCTTACACAGATCAGCTTCCTGTTGACCGGGTTACATCACATCTGAAGATGGTACGTATGTTACACTTTTTAATTAGAGAAACTATGAACATGTAGTAACTTGGGGAAAAAAGGTTTTTGTTATAGTTTTTATAAGAAAATGTAATATAAATGTAGGTATGGGATGATAAATTAGACTTTAAAGACATCATTGCTGTCAGATTGGCTTTACAACTATCTTCAAATTCCTGCAATATTCAATTGTAGGGCCTACTGCACCATTTATTATTATTAATAATAATATCAGTGTTATTAGTCATATTTGTGGTTGTGGTTTTACTGGTATTAAAACATGAATCAGTGTATAAAACCAAAAACAGAACTGGTACATTAGCAAAAAACCAAAAACAGAACTGGTACATTAGCAAATAATTAATTCACATAATGATTAAGGTTATAACACAAAATGTAAATACTGCAGATAAGATGCAAATAATTATACGTGGTTTAAAAGACTCATTATTTTTGCTTAATGCAAACTGTGAATCCATACAAATCTATCATCTGCAGAATAAATTACTTAAATTCTATTTTTACCCACTGTATGTTGCAAATAAAACGTCTTTTGCATTTAAATGTATACATAAAAGTGCCCTTTGGTATAAGATGACAAATCATTACATGCAAATAAGTTCAATGCTAAAACCTTCTGATACTGACAGTGAAACGTTTTTTCTTTCTTAAAGGGTTTTTAGTCTCTTTCATTTGAATGGATTAGCTGTTTGTGTAACCATTACAAGGCATAAATAAAAGCCACCCATCTCCTTTCAGTGTTTAGGAGATCTTAAAAGGGTGATAAATGAGTGCGTAACGACACCACGTAGACTATAAAAGAGTGCAGCATGTTTACAGATGGCTTTCCTGTACTCCTCCAGCCTTCTCTCCATGTGTTCATTTGTCTGCTGGGACTGGTAGTCCTGTGTCACTCTGACTGCTTCTTTGAGAGGTTAGAGCTGAAAGATCTGAATAACCCTCCAAAAGGTGAGACCTAAAAGTCGTCAAAACCACACCTATGCACCCACTGATACACTTGTGATTACAAATTTATCAGAGCTTGATCAGTGACTGAATTGTGGTTTTATTTCTTTACATGTAGCTTGTGTGGACAAAGATGGAAAGCAGCATGGGTTTGGCTCTGAATGGGACAGAGACTGCATGGCGTGCTCTTGTACGGAGGATGGCTTGAGCTGCTGTAGCAAGTAAGACTTTCATGCATTGATTTATTACATCACAGCTTATTTTTTCAAAATAGTGCTCTATTATGAAAATTACTGGGATAGGGAGGGGGCTGAATCTTGTCCATCATATATCGATTATGATTAAACTGAAAAGATGTACGTGTATTTTGTGTTTCACCAAATTGACATCTGGGTCACACTTGATTAAAAATAAAGCTCTGAGTATTGTTGGATAGTGCACCTCTATGACCGATCTGTTTCAAAGGAAGTCTGAAATGAAATATAGTTTTGAAATGAAAAAGAATAATGAAATACCATGCCCTGCTATCACACAACATGAAGATTCCCCTCCTTTTAGCCAAGAGCACCTATTATGTGCATGCATGTGGCTTGTTTCAAAGGTTATGTAACTGTTCCTATGGTGAGTTTACATAGCCCCGAGGTGGGCTTAGGCCTAGTTTTATTGTTGTTTGACTGACTGTTCCAAAAAAGTTAGTTGCCTTTTCATCTTTACCATCTTTCATTTAGGTATAGACTAAGAAAATGTATTTTAATTCACTCTCTGACTCAAAAGCTACCGACAGCTACCAGTTAAGGTGGGTTGTTTTCTTGCATGTTACTAAATGCATGAGTTGATGTTGTGAATCAATCAACACACCTTAAATGTTAATCCTATTGGTGTTTATTGGATCTCTTTCAAGACATATACTTTAGAAAATGATTGGATTTTCAAGCTCTAAAATGTTGGAGTGTTATTTGGATGCACTCCAGTAGCACTACACCACTGTAGAATGTAAAAACCCAACCTGAGCCCAACAGGACCTGACGGGTCGGGCCAGATTCAGATAAATATTTACAATGATGTTCGGGTCAGGTTAAGCCTGGGAAGCTGGGCCACGTCTCGGCCAGGGCTGGGGGTTGTTTTGTTATTTACAGTATTTTAGGTGATAAATATTTATGTATGTTCATGTTAGCTAGCTAACAGTGGAGGACGTCAAACAAAAGGTGTCATTATGTTATATAACCTGGCCTTTCCAGCAGCAGTGAAGAGAACTTTAGCATTGCTGGAAGACGGATTGAGCAGAGGAGGATGGCAATGCTATCACCTCCCTCCATGATAACTCCTGGATAATTGGATTATATAAATAATTCAGTTAACGGTGGTTACAGTGCAACAAGAGTTTGTGGAGAGATGAACACTCCAATAGTGAGACTCAAAATGTATTATTTGTAACTGCTGATGATGTTGATCTTAATGCAAACTGTGTGTGCAGTGTAATGTGTGTTTCAAAACAACCTACCTATACAAGCACATTTAAAACAATGCCTCTTGATGTTCATTAACAAGGTGCCACATGTTTAGTCACGGTACACAAACAAGCTGTAATCATGGTAACAACAATAGTGTGAAAAAAATAGGATGCATGTTTCAGACAGAGATATGTGGTCCAAGCCGCACTCTACACCACTGCCCCCCTCCCATCTCTAATAATTTGTGTACAGTCCCTAACTTGTGTTAAACCATTTTAATATGATTATTTGCCTTTTCTTTTCATATTAATAATAATCTTTGTCTTTGTCTCTCAGGATCCCTGATGCAAACACAGTAGACATTCCTGAGGAGTGTGAGCTGGTGGTGAATAAGGAGGTCTGCTCTGCCAAGGTGGTGAAGAAGTCCGACAAAACACAAGAGTGTAACCCTCTCTAAATGTGCTATAAAGTGACCTCTACATCTTAGGGATGACTGAAGTCCAAACTGGCAATACTTTATTTTTCATATATCAACAGCTTTATGGTGTGTGCATACAGTAATTTACCAGTAAACACAGACACATCAACCATGCTCTCTTGTCTTGCTTTTCACCTTTTAAGTTCACCGGCAATAAAGATAAAACCTAAAAACCTGCTCCAGCTCTGTCTCTTCTTGCCTGCTCTGTGTCTCTGTAACAGCAGGTGTCATTTCAGGATGTAATTGAATAAAACCACCACAGTGTGACAGCAGAGCTCAGTGCTCAGAGGGTCTCTGGCACCCAAAGGGCTCTAACAGCCCAATAATAGCAGTTCTCCCCTCGCCCGCTGTCTCTGACAGAAAACACTCTGGCGGTTGTGATGTTCAGCTCCTGCTCCAACTCTCATCTCTGTGGATTCACACCTGTTCAGAGCATCGTTTCCTCTGTCGTCTTGGCATCAAAGGGACTCTTGGCTCAACCAACCCACCATGTGAGTGCTTTATTTCTTATACATAATAATGATCTATAACACAATATAATTATCTTTGTCAGGGAAAGTCTTTCTTTAGTTAATCAGTTGTAAAATTAATGTTGTGTTGTCTCTTCACACTCAGCTTGTAGCTTAGTGTCCACAGATATTCAGATATACTGTATCTACAATTGCAAATGTTTTTAAATAATGCACTGGATCAACAGCAGTCTACAGAAGGTATTTCTGTGAACGTGCATCCAATTTCCTCAGGAAAACTGGAAAAAACAAACATCAGGAAACCAGGGAAAAAACATGTACATGCATTGATGTATCAAGAGGACATCCCATCTCTTAGTACTCATAGTGATAATAATGATGATAATGATAATCTTGGGAGGTATATCACCCACAAACCTTGACACTACTCGCAGAGAATAATGAGGCTCGGGTCATCATCTCAGGCTGAGCACAGCTCCTCTTATTTTGCTCCTCCAAATGCAGCAGGAGAGAAAATTGATTCTGAATAGTCCCACTGGCTGACTGTGTGCAAAATGAATTCAGCCATGGATACCAGTAAGTGGTATATTCACTGATAGTCTTGTTAAAAATCTGCAATAAAAATATTATTTTAAAGCACGCTTGTGATAAAGGAAGCATCTTTTATGATACACATTTTACATGAATAGATTTTAATCTGTGACTGCACAGGGGGGAATTTAGAGGTTTGTTTTTTCTCTTTGTTTGTCAGGCACTATGTGCAAGCTGTCTCCATGTCATTTCCATTTTCACACTCATTTATTTATAGTATAATTGTCTATTTCATTACAAGCAAATCCTCTTTGTCGCGCCCTCCAGCATGGCTCATACTGTAACTACAGACCATTAAATTCTAGACGAAGCCACAAAGTTTCCAGAAAATATTTTTTACTATGCATTACGAGGAACTTTTATGAAATGCAATTGTGCATGGCATGATATTGCTACAGAGAATCTTTGTCAGACAGAGAATAAATTACATTGTCATGCAGCGTGACAAATGTTTTATCAAAAGCCACTGCAGAAAAAAAATGAGAGAACGAGAATGTAGGTTAATCAATAAATGCATTCTGCACGGTATTTCTCTGAGAAATATACAAGAGAATAAGTCTTTTTCCAGGAAAATGACAGTCAGCCAGTCTCATTTCACTGTCAGAGAGCACTATTTCCTCAGAGATGGGAGACACTTCACTGAGGGAGAAAAGAAGAATATGATGGACAGAGCGGTGCCAGGTCACAGTGCTCCTTATCCTGCAGAGGATTTGCTCTGGAAAGGGAATAATCACAAAAACACACCTACTTGCTGGATGTGCATCTTACAGTGCCACATCACTGCAACATTAGAGGTTCACTTTTCGCTTTTAATGAGACATTTCTTGATTTTTCTCCTGGTGATGTATACGGCTCCTTCACTTGGTTACAGCCGTTTGTCACATCTTCTTACTGGTGACATTACACTTGTCTTTTCTCTTTGAACAAAGCATGATCAATGCTGTGCCACCCTGCCTGCAGCTCGCTCAACACACTGACAGAGTAGGTTAGTAATGATGCAGTGTGAAGTGACTGATAGCAAAGTGTGTGCACCGTTAATGGAAAATGACAGGCTCATTTTCTTTGCGATGCTGGTTTTCACAGCACATGGCAGAGGTTTCAGGGGGGACAGCTACAGTCCATTTTTAGGATCCTGACAATGTCATGCCCTTTCACTTACTACGTTATTGTGTGCTTGAAAAATAGAAGCCTGTGCTCAGATATATGGATAGTAATTTTATTGTCATTTTGCTTTCATGTTCAGTGTGGAAACCTGATTAGAGGGAGGAGAACTGACAAGACAGAGATCTTAAGATGGGTAAAGAAGAAGAGAAAGAGTGCTTGTTAAGACCGAGATCTGGACCTACTCTGTGCAGCTGCAGCACTGATGGGAATGTCATTAGTTCTGTAGCTATTTGGTCATAAACCAAAGTGGACACACTGAAATGAAATTAAAATGTTGACCTCATGATGGCACTAAAGGAGAGATCAGGGGCTCACCAAAGTCACAACAAATCATCCACCAGGAACCATGAATAACTGATGAAATAAGATTTTATGACGACCCATTAAAGGAACAGTTCAGTCAAAATCAAAGACTGTTTTATGTTAGATATCGGCAGCGGAGATGTCTGTCTTCTCTCTAATATACTGGAACTAGAAGGCACTCGGCTTGTGGTGCTCAAAGCATCAGAAACATACATCTGAAAAACTCAACACCAATGTCTCTTTCTAGAAATCATAACCATCATCACGCAAGATAATCAACAGAAATTGTTGTGAGCAGTTTCATGTAGGAACTATTTTCTTTCTACTGAACTAAACCTGCCAGCCGTATCAGTTTCTTCTCCTGTATGAGTAGCTTGTGTTTGTAACAACGAAATGTAAACTTTCATGGTGTCCTTCTTGGCTGAGCCATGGATGTATAAAGAAAACTGGATGCAGTGTTGGAGGAGGGTCCTGTTCATTCCTATGAAAGCTGCTCAGTGGTGCATGAAGCCAAAAAGGTTGACTTTCCTGGTGTTAAATTACCCACATCTTCCACATCAATGGGCCCATGGAGCAAACACACCAGAGAATTCATCGACCGAGCGGCTAACTTCCACCAACCAAGACTGCTTCCTCTGGTTCAGCCTTCCAATAACTTGAATGGGGATAAAATTAATTAATTAATTATGCAGCTCTTCTATACTTTTGAAATGTTATTAGGCTGAATGGATCAAATTGTGATAGCAAAATGGATTATTTCATGGGGGTTGTGATGCTAAAAAAAAAATCAAAACCAAATTGGACCAATGGCATCACATGAAGTAGGGGGAAGGGTGCGATATGGCCCTAAAATAATATCACAATATTTCAATGTATTTTTGCTGTAACAATATTCTTGACAATATGACAAATTAGCATTAAAGAAATACATATTCCATTAAAATTTTCAGAGCATAGAAAAGTAATAAAATAGGTGACAAAGTTTTACATGTTAGCCTAACAGTTTGCCTTTAAATAGTAAAATAAACTGTAAAAACTAAACATGTCTTTCTCTCTCATGTCTTTAGTTTGTGAACAACAGCAACTCAGAGTGAGTTTCAGATTACATGTACAATATTAGTAGTTCAACAAAATAAAATCTTCCATAAATTACACAGAACAAAAAAACACAAAAAAAGACAAAATCACTTGACGACACTGACTCCTGTGTGCGCGCGGCAAGAGAGGAGGGAGAGACACTGCTGTCAGAGTTCCCTCTGAGTGGTAACTCGCTCAAAGAGTGTCAGTAGGCTGTGGCTAAAACATTCAGGACTCCCAGGCCTAATGACACCACAGTTAATTCCACACCACTGAAGCTGCTCCTCTTTTTGGAACCACCCCGCAGTCTTTCATAATTTCGCTTTCAGCCATGCTTGTTGCTGTGCGTATCAGTATGATGTCAATATGTCAACAAGTAGAAATATCGCTAGTATGACGATATGAATTTTTTGTATGATATTAGAAATGATACCAGTATTATTGTGAACAAGATGATATGGCACACCCCTAATGTGAAGGACCTGGAAGTTACACAGTTTGGTCACTATGTCAAATAGGCTTCAAATTCTGGCACACTTCCTGGGGACCTGAGCGGAGCTGCAACATTAGCTAGCTCAGTGTTGCTAGGTGAGCTAGCAGTCGATGCACGCCTCCTTCCGCTGGTGATGTGGTTGGTGGGTGTAGTTTGGTAGAAAGAAAATAGTTCCTACATGAAATTGCTCACAACAAGGCCTGTGGATTATCCTGAGGAATCTAGTCATTATTTCTGGAAAGAGACACATTGCTGTTCGGTTTTTCAGTATTATTTTTTTATGCGCTTTGAGCACCACAAGCTGAGTGCCATCTAGTTGCATTGTATTCTAGAGAGGACAGACTTCTCTACGGCTGGTATCTCCAACACTCAGCTGCTCACACACACACAAAAAACAATAAAGATCGATAAGTAGCGCTACAGGTGAGAAAATGTGTATTTTTAATTTGGTGGTGAACTGTCCCTTTACACAGCTGTTCAGACAAACGGACATTGCCATCACAACCTCCATGCAACCAGCACGGCTAAATATAGAACATAAGGGCATATTTTAATGATAATGCTTTCTTGAACCTAACAGCAGCTTATTAATATGCCTCAGCAGTGAGGTTTAAATTGTGCAGTTCCTCACAGTGACTTAAATAGAAAAAGTCCTCACATGTAGCATCTTTCCTGAGCTTTACTCCCCCTCAGCCCTCGGATCTATTTCTCACCTTTCCCTCACTCTCTGCTCCTCTCAGAACATCAGTATCACATGAACAGAAACTTTGACCCATAAGAGTGATTGCTTGGCAACTGATTACTGTATTTTTCTGTCTCTGTCTGTGCTTCCTTTCTCTTTGTGTCAGATGCAAGTTTCAAGGGGGCTGGGATGGACTGTTTGATCCTGGGGGCTGGTGACACTGAAGCCCTGGTGAGATGTCCCTGAGTGGGAACGAGAGCCAGCGTTCTCCGTCAGCGACAGCTCTGCCTTTGCCCTTCAACAGCTCCACCTCTCCACATTCCCTGCCATGGGAGGAGGGAAGAATTACTCGTGATTCTGTGCAGGAGTGGCTGGGGAATACGACCCAGCTCCTCTC